TCTCAAGTTGGTGGAGTTGGTGCACCACTGTAATACCAGTGTACTTACATGGTAACTCCTCAGGAACTGTCCACTTAATATAAAGTGTAACATTCTGGACACCAACCACAATTCATATGTAAAGCCTAACTTACTGGCCGCTGCTGTGTATCAGAGTAATTACATGGTAAATCCATAGGAATTGTTTACTTAATATAAAGTGTAACACTTTCTTTACCAAAAAGTGCTGTTAGTCATTTTACACATTTGTACTTTCATTACCAAAAAATGTCGTTACCAATGTCCTGTTACACATTTGTATTTACACATACCATTCAGTGGGTTGTTACATGTGTAGTTACACAAACATTACAGCTGTAGATAGTATGTACCAATGTGTACTTACACTGTGGTTACATACTATGTACACATCTAGTTACTATGTAAGTACACAGGTATTAGGGCCACTTAATATAAAGTGGGACCAACTCACATGGATCCCACTGTTGCTATAGTAACGGACACAACCTTCACGTGCATCTGATTGACAGATAAACCACACACTTATTTCAGTGTTGTTGTTATTTTATTTTGTGGATATTTCAGCTAACAGTTTTTTTTTGTACATTCAGTTTTTGTCATACGTTTTAAAAACTTCGGCTATCTTAAATGTTCTTACTCCGCACCTTTATTAAATGTAAGTCATTGAAAGCGCACAGTTTTCTATTGTATTTACTTTAACTTCTCAGGTAATATCAATGGTACAACCTATTTCAGATGCGGCCAAAATTACAACAACAGTGGTTACATATACATATATTTAATTGTTTGATCAAAATTATTCCTAGGGACAATTTAGTAGTCGCTGGATATTGGTAGGGACATGTCTTAGTCTCCCTATAAATTCTATGCCCTTGGCTAATAGGGCCATTTACAATATGTGTTGCAACAAAACAATTCCATATTTCTTTAATAAATACAATTATTAGTATTAAACACGGACAGAGATGTATTTGTACTTTTAGGTTTGAATAATTTGTAACTATGTAATATAACAAAACTTTTAATGATGTCAGAAAAAACAGAGAAAATGTAACTGACAATTTACTGTAAGCTTATTTCAGGATTTTTGGGCCAAAATCAGATAAAAAAAAAATTTAATTCCAATTTTGACAGAAGAGTAATTTGTGTCAAAAATTGTCAATAAACAAACAAATAAATGAAATGCTAATAAAAATGAAAAATCTAATGTAAAGATTTACAAGAAAGAAAGAACAAAATGCAGTACCATTGCCAAACCACTAATAAAACTCAATACTAACAAAAACTCTAATCGTTTCTTTGTACAGATACAATTTGTGTTTTTCAGAGTCAAAATCAGGACCATTAAATATCAGAATATTGTTGTCTTTGCACATTTCCTGTTACCTGTAATGTCTCTTTATGTAACAACACCAAAGCAAAGTCTTGAGACTAACCTCCTGAGGGGATCTTTGAGGCATTATATGTTGGGCAGGTTGGCAGGTGGCTCTGCCTATTTCAGATCTCTGCTGTTCCTCAAACGTCTCTTGATTCACAGACTGAGATGAGAAACCGGGCTCAGATTCACTCATCTGAGGCAGCTGGCAGCTTGGCTGGTTTTCCTCATGATGCTGGACAACAGAGCAGACAGATTGAAGGGTCCCCAAATAGTCCGTCTTCGGACTCAAACTGGTTTCTACCACAGTTCGGTTTTGGGGTATTTCTGCAGACATTGCCCTCAAGGTTGACTGTAGAACTTTGGGGGAAGAGGTTTTTATTTGATTGTTGTTATGAAATCACTATCAGTTATCATTACAGCAGTAGTTAGGGACATATAAATCAAAGTGAAATCAATATAATCCTAATAAATCGTAAGATCTCACAGCCTTGAACAACTGAATACAACTTCATGTAAACACAAAACTGAAACAAATAAGAAAATGTATAATGCAACCTAATCTGTGCAATTTAAAGTCACCAAAACTACAATTTACCTGGATCAATGTGTTCACATGCGTAGACTTGTGCAGCAATGCACACCGCACAGCCAACAGCTTCAGCTGCAGTAGTTATAGTAACTGTAAACAGTGGACGTTGATACCAGATTAAAAAGCCAAACCTTGATTGCTTTCTACAGTTTTGCTGAATGGGGGTAGAGTGGAGAAAACAAGCTTAACTAGTGTATTTTTCTGAGACTGCATTTTTCCCCCTATTGCACTATTGGCTTATTTTGCTGTCATTCCCTCCATTTTCCCTTCAGTTCAAATCTTGATTGCATTTGTTTTTCTCATGGTTGCTTGGCTCAGTGTTCACAATTGCAAAATTAGGCTGTTCTGTTTGTGTATTGCGTTAGCGTAGGACGGCTCCTGCCTTCTCAGTAAATAATTAACTTGTTGATTTGTGACATTGATGAGAATATGCTTTTTAAAAGTACTGAATTGATATGTTATGTAATTAATTGTATTATTTTAAATGCTATATTAAAATTATGAAATAAATACACTAATGAAATTTCTGGGTCTAAAGAAACAGCAGTTTCTTTAATCAGCTGCTTTATAATTAATGACTTTATCTGCCTGTCCTTTTTTCTCTATATCTCGTTGTTTTTCAGTGCAATTTTAGTACCAAAATATCTTAATGCAAAGTAAAACCACTAATGTTAATCAAATAAAAAGTCCAACTCTGATAAATCATGTGATCAGAAACACTGATGGACAAACACATCTTGACCTGGTCCATGTCCTTGTTAGGACAATGATTGACGGATGAGTGATGGCCCTATGATGTTTGTTGTACTCACATGCTGAAAAGATTGAAATCCTCTCAAAAACCCTGCCTGTCAATGCTCCGACATGGAGGTTCACAAAGCAGTTATTTTACTTTGTCTCTTCCTTTTTACAGGTAAGCCAACAGATATTCATTCATAGCGCTTAAATATAAGGCTATTTCTTCTATGCTATACATAATAAAATTAACCGACTAAAACCTATAACTAATAGCGTTTATTAATCTGTATATGACTGTTATGATCATGTTACCTTCAGGTTTCCTCAGGTGCCACAGCCAAAGCACAGGTAAGAAGATCTGGTCATCTGCAAATATAAAGCAAATGTGTTCTTTCAGTTCATGCTTTCATACAAAGAGTACTGTTGATCAAGTTTGAGATCTTAGCATTTTAGAAATATTCTGTAATTCAGTTTGGTAGGGGCTTACATGGGCTCTAGTTTAGGAAGTTTTGGCCTTGTTTCATCGAGTCTAGGAGAATACAGTAGCACAGTTCACAGAATCTTACTTGATCAACATTGATAAATCAAGTGTTTGTGACTTGAAACTCAACTTAGTCCTTTTTTACACCCTTTTCACTTTCTA